ACTAAGGAGATCCCAATAACAGGCAATTATATCACAAGGGTTTAAAAAAACAGATGAAAGAGTGAATGTCGATTTTGAGATGAATTATCAGTTGCATATAACTATCATATGGACCATAAATCAAAACAAGTGATAAAATATGAATAAATACAGAAAAAAACTAAAGCATAAAGGCCACAAACATCAAATAATAAAGGTCATTATTTAAATCTAAAATAATTGCGATGATCTTAAATTGTAAATATTTTGTGCACGTTTTGCGATTTTACATTACATTCAAAAATAAACACAGGAACATTGCGTGAACACAAAAGCTAAGATTCCACAATTCATTTTCCTAATACATTTCGAATAGATAAATAGTGTTCTGTTTTTAGTTTGAACTGTCATTTGAGAAATGCCTCAGTTGTTCTCACAAAACAAATAAATAGATAAAGCAAACAAAATCATGACCTTGAAAACATTTCATCCCCAGCAGATAGCATTATTGAAATTTCAGAACTAAGATGCCCTTTGACTCGTCTGAAATAGACTTGAGAATGAAGGAGAGGGCGGGTGGTGGGTCTACAGGGGGAGTGTGTCTATGCGTGGGGACGGAGGAGGTTACTCTGTGAACTTGAAGAGCGAAGAGCCAACGCTATCTGAGGAGCAGTTTGTCATGCTAACCATGCTGGAGCTATTGAATTCACACACAGGGAGCAGAACTTTCACAGGACCTCGTCTTTTTTAATGCAAAACCAGTCAGACCCCGCACCCCCGAGGTTGTTTTTAGTTTGAACTGTCATTTGAGAAATGCCTCAGTTGTTCTCACAAAACAAATAAATAGATAAAGCAAACAAAATCATGACCTTGAAAACATTTCATCCCCAGCAGATAGCATTATTGAAATTTCAGAACTAAGATGCCCTTTGACTCGTCTGAAATAGACTTGAGAATGAACGAGAGGGCGGGTGGTGGGTCTACAGGGGGAGTGTGTCTATGCGTGGGGACGGAGGAGGTTACTCTGTGAACTTGAAGAGCGAAGAGCCAACGCTATCTGAGGAGCAGTTTGTCATGCTAACCATGCTGGAGCTATTGAATTCACACACAGGGAGCAGAACTTTCACAGGACCTCGTCTTTTTTAATGCAAAACCAGTCAGACCCCGCACCCCCGAGGTTCATATACACACAAGTCTCCGTATAGCCCTCTTCTCAATGCACTTGGGGGGTGCATTGAGACATATATTTATGACAAACTCTACCTCGCTAGTTAATAATATGTGTGGATACGTATTAGTAACTCGTTTTAGTATTTATAAGTGGAATAATGCAGCACCATTGCTAGTTAATGTATAAATGAATTTCCCTCAAATATGAAGGCCGCATTAGGTATAGCTATATCGCGATTATTCGCGGTTACAGTGAGTCGCTATTTACACTATTCATTTTCAGCAGGCCTGAGTGTCTTAAATGCAAAATAACACGTTAATAAAAAAAAAATTAAGTATTCTAATAAATATTTCATTATTTATCAATTAAATGGCATTCCTCCGCTACAAAAAAATAGTCCCTGACCAAATAGAACGTTGCGTGAAACTAGCGGCGGAAGTGTTTCACATCATTGACCAATCAGAAGTCAGGACCGACAAGAACGTGTTTTATGTTTTACAAAATTATAACGATTTAATTATGTAACCTACGATTGGTTCATTTATTTTAATCTGAAAGCCTACAGTTGAACTTGGAAAATATCAGATATTTTGGTAGGCTATTTAAATGCCATGATTATCCTACATTTTAGGTTCAGGGAACGGTTTCTACTAGCAGCATCAGTTTATAAGTAAACCCCTATTCTTGTTTTTTTGCTTTTATTTCGTTCATCTAACCAGTTTATTTGTGAATTTATTCTTTCTGTTGCTTGTTAATACATCACATGGCAACAGAGGTGCATTTTTCTGGAGTCTCGTAGTCTGTAATCTTGAAATTGTAGAGGAAGGGTCACTCTATTAGGAGCTTCAATTATGTGTCATTTATTGTCAAATCATAAGGGGGAGTCTTATAAGAGAGAACACAGACCACCAACATTTGGAACAATGGTATGGTGAGCGCATCTGATTGGCTGAGGGGAAAGCCAGGCTGCACGCTTCTTCTAATGGAAGAACCAATCACGGTTCATGCTTTGACCCGAAACGCTTTTACTGCACTACCCGCTGGTAAGTGGCAATATGCTCTTTCATATAAAATTAACAAGACTGTAGAAACGCGGGAAAGGCGAAAACAGGGGTAGATGCAGGTTAGCGGCTAAGTGTGAAAAAGCGGGCCGTGTAAAACGAGATTGTTTTCATCTGAAAATGACATTTGTCTTGTGTATGTTTTTGATTTTTCGTTTTTGGCCCCCCCCCCCTGCCTTTTTTACAAGGCTATTCATGCCTTTCCATAATGTCGTGCGGGGCATTTTAATGTGGCGACAATTTATGGAAGGTTCTAGTGAATGGATGCTTGTGAAGCTGCCAAATAATGGGCCGTCGCTCACATATAACACACAGTGCCGCATTTGTTTTAACCAGGAAGCCGTAAAGTGTTTCTCTTTTTAACCGTTTTCTCTCTTTGTACTACTAGCCTGAAGCTCAGCGTGACTTCTAAACGGCTCTCAGATTTTCCCCTTATTCAAGCCTTGTGTAAATTATTTATGCGTCATTTAAATACATGCAAATGAGATGGCAGAACGTTAAAGAATAATAATACATATTTTGGAGATTTAAATTGTTTTTTTTAAAATTTCCTTTAATAAAATAATATTGATCATATTTGTTTAGACAAAACAAATTGTTTTTTCATTTTATTTTGCTTTGATAAAAATCATAATCGTATAAATGTAGATATTATTAAGTAAACAAACGTATTACTATATTAAGTAAATAAATGTATTCATATTATTTATTTTTTGGTTGTGTCATCAGCCTTATAATCAAAAATCATGCTGATTTTATTTAGCCTAACTTACCTTGACCCTATGTATTTCAGTTAAAAGGCACATACATTGTTCTGTCAAGGTCAAGTTCAGGCCAGAATAAAATCAGGGTTTTGCCAACCCTTTAAATTACTTTATTATACTGCCACCTAGTGGCAATGGCTAAACAGACTATCATATAATGTGTCCTTTTAGTTCAGGGCTGTCCAAACTTGGTCCTGGAGGGCCGGTGTCCTGCAGAGTTTAGCTCTAACTTGCCTCAACACACCTGACGGGAAGTTTCTATGCCTCGTAAGAGCTTGATTAGCTGGTTCAGGTGTGTTTAATTAGGGTTGGAGCTAAACGCTACAGGCCCACCAGGACTGAGTTTGGACAGCCCTATTTTAGTTAGAGTAGTGCCATATTATTTTTGACAGGAATGTAATCGAGGCTGTGAGGGACAGTGCGTTCAATGGATTGCACTGTTGTTTAACAACACACACCAACTATTCAGACTTTCGGTAGACAAGAACTCCATAAATCTGTGCAAAAGGCTTACAATTTCACGTCGGGTACTAGTATTTGAAATGGAATACATTTAAAAGATTATACTATTTAGTATACACATATGTTCCCTTTAAGAAAAAAGTTTGATTCAATTTGATTGGAGCGCAGTGGTGAATTCACATTTGTGAGCCATAGAGCGCCCCCTGGTGGAACATTATTTTTGCCCCGCAGTTTTGAAAGAGAGCGACATCAATAAAACAAGATAATAATAGTCGGCAATTTATAGGATGAAGTCGGGTGAAATTGACCAGAGTATGTTGGAGCGTTCTAGAATTTTGTTTAAGATTCAAATATGTAAATCACTGTACATTACTTTACAGCTTTTGCCACTACTGTACTGGAAATGTAGCAGCAGCTTTGGTTTCCCTGAGTTTGGGAAGTTGGGTAGAGATGCAAAACGTAGAATGAGTGTCTTGCCATGGTAATTGGTCATTTTAAATGACAATATTTATATTCATACGAAATAAAATCTTTTCAAAATTCCGTTGTTTTTTTTTGGATAATGTAAAATGAATGTACATTTTCTGCAAATGTTTTTGCAACCTGTATTTGATCAGGTAAGTAACTTAAAATCCAGAAGAGGAAATTATGGTACAATTGACATTTAAGAGGTATTTTATTAATTGAATGATTTTTATGCGTGTGCGTGTGTTTTTTTTTTTTCTTTTAATAATTTAAATTTGCGTGTAACAAATTTAAATATTTCTGCATTTTTAATGATGTAATTGAGTAATTTGGCACTCTTTAATTGCAACAATCCAGTTATTTAATCGTTCTCTTTGATTTTACAATTTTATAGTCATGAATTATTATTTTTTTGTAATTGAATAGCCTATGAAATAAATGATCATGTTGTGTTGCCTGACCAGTACCATAAATAACCAAAAATTATATTGACATCTTTCCCTTTACAAAAATGTACAGTGTGAGGTCGTTTAAAGGACAGTAGCAACTATGGTAACTATTGTATTTAGTCAGAAACTATGGTTACCATAGTAAATATTTGTGAAATTAAAGCGTTAGGAGGATGCTCTTCTGAACTCTGTCCCTCTGATGGACTCTCCCACTCCCCCCCTCCCAAATACACACACACACTGTCACTTTAATCAGTCTGGAATAAGCTCTTTTGCACTACAAATCATATATATATATATTTTTTATAAAAAAAAAATTTGCACTACATCACTATATCTGCACTGTTGTTTACTTTACTGGTTTGCACTCTATCCTCCATATGCCTTGTGCTTTATATATATATATTTACATTTTACCTTATTTGTATATTTGTATAGTTGTATTTTGTATTTAATCTGTATTTATGTTATCTGTATGCACCCAAGGGTCTGAGAGTAACGCAATTTCAATTCTCTGTGTGTATGTGCTGTACATGTGGAAGAATTGACAATAAAGCAGACTTGACTTGACTCTTCCTCATGTAAATCTCCTCTCGATGTGGGCCAGTGCTCAGTGCGCATGCGCGGTTCGGTGACTCGGGTCCATGTGTAGGCAGCGAGGAAGGATCTTTATTTGGCGACCGGAGCGGCAGCGGGCAGGGCAGATAGACAGAGGGGGATCCCCGGGATAGTTTTACACCAAAAATACTCGGGTAAATAACAACAACTACACGCGTGGAGGGCCCTCGGAAGACCAGTAAGCGTTTCATCTTCTCAGTAAGTTCCTACAAAGAGAGATTGAGTGATAACTGGACGTTTTCAGAGTGTTTTGACTTCACATTAGCTTTGCTAGCAACTGGACTGTTGAGTTAAACAGAGGATTTACAAACTTAACCATCCGCTTCATCAAATAGAGTTGACAGATTCCAACTAACTCCTTCGATCCCGATACAGTGCGATGTAATAAGTAACTTTAGAGAAGAAACTTGTCAAGTGTTTTCAGTTTGGGGAAAATAAACTAGTCATTTAGCTCGCCTGCTAATTGGAGTTGATGAGTTAGTCAGCATTAGCTGATGTTAGCCGGGTTAGCTAACTAGTTTTGCTTCCTCAGCACTAAACTCACCGGGCTTTATTTATTTAAGAGTTGGTTTGTTGCCACTGAGCTTTACTAAGCTCAAACTCCTTTTTAAATACAAGAAGTTAGGAAATGTTGGATTCTGTCTTTAGATCATCTGACAGATATTGTGTTTTATGGGCATTGGGTTGTATTGGAGTAATGCATAGAAATGTTAACAGTTTCAGGGTTGTGGGTAGTTAAATCGACCCATTTCGTCTTATATTCACCCAAATTCGTGGTCACATTTATTTTAGCACTTGAACAGTCCAGTGAAACACAAAGTTAAAGTTAAAGTTTATAAGTTATGAACGTGTTTAATACCTGCTCACAATTGCAATTAGTAGGAAACCACAGAGTTGAAATTGCTTAGTTGGTCCGTAAGACCCAAGAAAGTTAAACAATAAAGCAAAATAAATTTTTTTTACTAAGGCAATTTTACTTTCACTTTCTTTCATTTAACAATCCATTGAAATATGTAAATGAGTCTCTGGGTTTCCCACTGGTTACAGTTGTATGTGTTTACATCATAATGATGTAAAAAAAAAAAAGACACTTTAAATATTACGTGCACCAATTATGATTGTGGTATCTCTATTATGACGTGTTTTACATTCTTCCGGATCATGTGATATTTACACCAGCCATGTAAAAGTGTTCATGTGAAACCAAGACAGTCTGAACTTTCATTTACAGTGAGCCCTGTATTTAGACATTTCAGTGGGTTTAAAAGGGTTAACGATAAAGAGTTATTCTGCTTATTGTGGTCATAGGTTCCATCCCGGTAACAGTTAAACATTTGGCATGGTTCCTGGTGTTACATTTGTGACTAGTAAAGTATAAGTCGTCAGTTCAGAGGTTGAGGCCAAGGGCAGAGTTCAAAGTTTGGCTAGTTGTCCTGCAGTTGATATATGTAATATCAGAATGCGATGTCATAAGTGGTATGCATTACAATATATAGCCTATACACATACAATGTTGTCGTCTTTATGCAAATCTTTTCAAAACACAAAAAACTTTTTTTAGTACATGGTGGTCATGTAAGCATACCCTAATGGTGTGTGCACCCAAAAAAGCGAATGTAATTATTTGCGTGATTAAATTACATACAAAGTCAATGCAAAAACATTAATTTTCATTATTCTTCTCAATCGTGTCTTCTGCGCAATTTAAAACAAATTTAAACTAGAATGGAAAATTCGTATGACACATTGTCACACAAGCCAATCAGCGAAGAGCTTATTGACATGTCAGTTTTGAGACATCTGGTTGTATCAGAAAAGTGTTTTTATGTTTTTGCGCGAGTGATTCGAAAAACATCCCACAAATAATGAGCAAGTAACGCGATGCAGATATTCACTATGCTTTTGGTGTGCACACTAGAGGTCGACCGATGTATCGGTTTTGCCGATTAATCACGTGCACCAATTATGATTGTGGTATCTCTATTATGACGTGTTTTACATTCTTCCGGATCATGTGATATTTACACCAGCCATGTAAAAGTGTTCATGTGAAACCAAGACAGTCTGAACTTTCATTTACAGTGAGCCCTGTATTTAGACATTTCAGTGGGTTTAAAAGGGTTAACGATAAAGAGTTATTCTGCTTATTGTGGTCATAGGTTCCATCCCGGTAACAGTTAAACATTTGGCATGGTTCCTGGTGTTACATTTGTGACTAGTAAAGTATAAGTCGTCAGTTCAGAGGTTGAGGCCAAGGGCAGAGTTCAAAGTTTGGCTAGTTGTCCTGCAGTTGATATATGTAATATCAGAATGCGATGTCATAAGTGGTATGCATTACAATATATAGCCTATACACATTCAAAGGTTTGGGGTAAGTTTTTTTTTGTTAAAGAATTATTTGTAATAAGGATGCATGTAATCGATCAAAAGTGACCGTAAATACATTTATAATGTCACAAAGGATTTCTATTTCAAATAAATGCTATTTAACAAAGAATCCAGAAAAGATTTCCAAAGCGAATCAGCGTATTAGAATGATTTCTGAAGGCTCACGTAGCACTGAACGACGCAGAAAATTCAGATTTGCATCAGAAGAATAAATTGCAGTTTAAAAATATTAAAACAGAAAACGGTTGTTTTAAATTGTAATGATGGTTCACAATATTACTGTATTTTTGATCAAATGAATGCAGCCTTGAGCATAAACAACCACTGTATTGTGTAATTGGCAAATTGCATGAGTAACAAGTGTGTTGCGTCCATTACCCAAGTAAGTGCGTAATTGTTTTGTAATTCTGTTCTGTTCTGGTTAATATTGCTCTTACGTTTGAACCCATTGAACGCCCACAAACTGACCTGAGATGAATTTAGTATCTGTGTTGCGCATGAAATGCAAGTTGTTTCAATTGTGAGACTTTGGACTTAGTGTAAAAGTGTAACTGACCGTCCACTGTTTGTCAGCTGTGATGATGCATGATATCACAATCCTGCTGAAATTCTTGAGCCGTTTCTCATGGTGGAGCAGAGGTGTAGTTCAAGGTTGGTCTGCATGGGTGTGGTGGCTTAAGTTGTTTTGTCTGAAGGATGACTTGAGTGGCTTTTTGTAAATAAATTGGGTGGGACCAACTTGGTGTCACAAGAAACCACCAAGTATAATCATAGTACATAATAAAATGCTTGGATTTTGGTCCTACATCCAAGAATATCCCAATATGTCATGTCAGTATGTGCCGGGTGTTGTCGAATCCTGGCGTACCATGTTGAGTATCTAATAGGCAACCAGCTAAGCCACTTGGCACCTCTCAAGTGAGTCGTAACGGGCATGTCTCTCTGAATCTCATGCCACGCCAAGGACAAGCCTGAAGACCAGCTGTGTGCTCCATAAGAGATTTGTTGAACAATAATAGTTTTGTAGCTAAGTATATTTAGCAGAAATGAGTGCTGGATATTGTATTTGGGATTTTTAGAGATCTGTTCATCTGCACCTGAGAAACACACCAGAGCTGCGGTATCTGAGATGGTGGCCGGTGGTAAACAGGAAGGGCTGGAGACTGACACATGGCCACTGCAATCTAGCGAGATCTTTTTACTGTTCGATCTCAACTTCCTGATAGTGTCAGATGAGGAAAGCCAGGGGAAGAATGCATCTAAAATGAAGGGCACAGTGTCGTGTTTTTTTTCTTTTTTGAAAGACGCTTCTGTTTTGGCTGTAGACCAAAAGTACATGCCATTGTATTGGAGTTAAGAGTGTTTCACGTTCAGCTGACTGTCATTATCAGTAAGGTGTGGTTTTGTGTAGGGGTATCCTGCCAGATAATAAAACGCTTATTGGTTATACTGGCTTCATAAAAACTTAAATACTTATGAAATAGTAAATAGATCTGAATAGATTGTTTTGGTTATGTAGAAATTACAATTTTGAATTGGCATAGTTTTGGGTATGTAAAATCATATTTAAATTATCTTTTGTCCATATTTTGTTATTGGGTTAGTGTTATTTGGCATTTTTAAATATTTATTATTAAGAATAATTTATTATCATAATTTCCTGAAGCTCTACCAATGACAATTACTGAGCAATGACAGTGGTTTGGTCGATTTCAAAGTGCAAGTCTCTGTAAACTTCTAAATAAAATAAAAAATGATGTCATGCTTATGTGTATTACATATTTAGTCTATAGGTATGTGGCCACGTAGTGTTTCTTTACAAAGTGACATCACCAAATAGCTGGTGTGGATAATAGTGTTTTAAGTAGTTTTTGACAATGTCGGATCATTTTTGACAATGTTGTCGTCTTTATGCAAATCTTTTCAAAACACAAAAAACTTTTTTTAGTACATGGTGGTCATGTAAGCATACCCTAATGGTGTGTGCACCCAAAAAAGCGAATGTAATTATTTGCGTGATTAAATTACATACAAAGTCAATGCAAAAACATTAATTTTCATTATTCTTCTCAATCGTGTCTTCTGCGCAATTTAAAACAAATTTAAACTAGAATGGAAAATTCGTATGACACATTGTCACACAAGCCAATCAGCGAAGAGCTTATTGACATGTCAGTTTTGAGACATCTGGTTGTATCAGAAAAGTGTTTTTATGTTTTTGCGCGAGTGATTCGAAAAACATCCCACAAATAATGAGCAAGTAACGCGATGCAGATATTCACTATGCTTTTGGTGTGCACACTAGAGGTCGACCGATGTATCGGTTTTGCCGATTAATCGGCACCGATAGTTGATTGCTGGAACTATCGGTTATCGTCAAAAATCCATGCCGATAGTTTTCCGGGTTGCGTCCATTGCTGGAGCAGCTGAGAAGGGTCTGCTGTCATTACACAGTGCGAGAGCGGCCTCTAGTGGTTGAAATCACTGACAGCACGTGCTATTTGTTTAGACACGTGATATTGCACGCTGAACAGAGCGGGAAACTTCAGACACGGATTTAAATGCAGCCGACAGAAAATCCTGCCGCGCCATTCACATAGTTTTCCTTTAAATTACATTATATTGGTCCCGAATCGTTGTTAATGTACATAATAAATTGTGTATTGTGCATTTTCAGCAAAACGTTTGTCTTTCTGTGGCTCTAATAAAGTCTGTGTGCTTCATTTATAGAGCTATAATGTAGGTTGCGCTTTCTCTTTCAGTTTTGCTCCGTTTTTTAAACACGGAACTTCAAACTCATCCATGCCAAA